CATTTATGGCCCGCTGATGCCAGTGACTTAGGTTAAGTTCCAGTGCATTTACATATCGCATATCAGGCAATTGGCAGCTGGCGTTGCCACTGAACCTCAGCCAGCCAAGTACTGGCTCAGAACGACTGCCACAAGTGGCCGCAAAGCATGCTATGGGCCCATTTTGCCAGGAATGCGAAGGACTCCCTGCCTCCATCTCCACAGCAGACTGCCACGTGCGTCTGGGTCCTCTGTCTCCTCCTCCTCCTCTAACCTCTTCTGGGCTGCTGCTGGGCTGCTGCAGGACATCCTGGAAGCCAGGGCACCTAAGTAGGAACTACTGTGCCATCTGGCTAAGGACAAAAAACAGGCAAGGCACATAAGTAAACTTTCCCTGTTGATGGGCAACCAGCGGGTTGGTGCCATTTTCATACGTTATCCTGACAAAACATGGTGTATCCTAAGGGTGTGCTGCTTCCCCCCTTGTTCCGGCTACCCTTGTAGCATGTTCTTGTGTTTTATGTCAAAGCACGCAAAATGACTTACTGTAATCTGGCAATGTTAGGGTTGGGGCAGTAAAAACCTCTTCAGTCATTTGTTGCATTTTTTGGTTTTCTGCTTTTGCTTCAAATTTAAATGGCTGTTGGGCAGTGAGAGCATATGAGAAGCCTATTGGCTGGGAAGCATGAGAATACACTTCTAGAAATAACCTACCAGTCCTTACAAACCATATGTTGTCTTTCATCCTTAGGCATGGGGTAATGTTTCAAAATCTTCACTCTTTAGTCTGTCAAATGTTTTGTACCATGTGAAATGTGGTGTCCCAAAAATACAACTTTTCAGGGGTGTTTCAGGGGTCAGAGAAACTCCCCCCCATCAGGGCTACCAAAATACACAATTTAACCAGTTGTTGACCAGCTGCAGTACACATACTGTGGGAGGGCAGCAGCTGCAGGCTAAGTGATGTACCCGCACAGTGCTTAGCACATAATCACAGGACACAGTGCATTACTGTTGCTGGTACTCGTCCGCTTTGATTGGTATGCGATCACATGATCACAATGTCAACAAAGCTGTTATGAATTAATTTTATTCATAACAGCTGTGTTTTCAAAAGTGAGCTGCTATTGGCCCACAGCTTTGACAAGGTACATGGGCCACTCACAGCACCCTGTACATGTAGGTCAGTCACAGATCACAATAGTAAAATCAGAGCTGTTATGAATGTAACCCATTCATGGCAGTTCAAAACATTGCTATTACAGGGAACTTTACTATAACAGCAACAAAGTGTAAAAAATAAATAAATCCCAAAACACCTTCCTGAGTAGTAAATTGCTACTATGCTGACATTGAACTACTCTGATGAAAGTATGAAAAAAATTGTAAAAAGTAAAAGAAAAAAAAGTTAAAAAAATAAAAAAAATAAAAATAATTTTCCTTTTTTATTAGTTTTTTTTTACAGACTGTAACCAGTTAGTGTCCCTGACGACCACAGTACCAATCATATGATGATGCTGTACTGCACTGATAACAGTATGTAAAAAAAATGTGAAAAAAGAAAAATTTTCCAAAAAATTGTGACAAAAAATTACAACTTTAAAAAACTTGCCATGCCTCTTACTAAATACCTCAGACTTTCTACTTTGCAAAAAAAGGGATCATTTGGTTGGTAACTGTACTGTCCTGGTGTCAATTTTCAAATATACTGTATATTCCATAGTCTGTAGATGCTATAACTTTCACACAAACCAAGTAATATATACTTATTGGGATTTTTTTTTAACCAAACACATGTAGCAAAAAACATTTTGGCATGAATAAAAATTTTTTTAATTGGATATGTTTTAAACACAAAGTAGCAAATATATTTTTGTTTTCAAAATTTTCAGTATTTTTAATTTATTTAACAAAAAATTTTAAATCCAGTGGCGATCAAATACCACCAAAAGAAAGCGCTATTGTTTTTTAAAAAAAAGTACAGTGTACAATGTACAGTTTTGGATGACCACACAATAGCCAGTTAAAGTAGCACAGTGCCGTATAGCAAAACATGGCTAGTCATGAAGGGGGTAAAATCTTCAAGAACTCAAGTGGATAATGTAAATGTAAATGTGACTGATGAAATCATAAGTATAACAATCATAGAACATCATTGGTAACAGGGGCAGACTGACCATTTGGAAACTCGGGCACTGCTCGAGGGCCCGGAGTCAATAGGGGGCCCCATGAGATGCCCCTGGTACTTTTTTCATAGGCTTTTTTGAGTTTGGGCAAGGACACAGGGGCCCCATGATCCCCTATTGCCCGGGGGCCCCATGAGGTGTCAGTCCGCCCCTGACTGGTAACACACATATGCAAGTGTAGGGGGCCATTGCTGTTTCCATTTTAAAGAACTGTTTCCCTTTTAAGACTGCATGCTGTCAGAAAGGGCTTGATTGGCTCAGCTCTCAGCAGTACTGCAGTGTTTGTGGGAGTTGCAGTTTCATCAGAGGCAGACATTGTAACTTTATGCTGCACAGGACTACAGGGACCAAGATGCTTTGCAAGAAGGAGGGTTGGGGAGCCACATGAGCCTTTGGAGAGGACATGTGGAAGCTAGTCTGCAGCCCCTACTGTTGAAGTACACTGACACTGTTTCCAGATCAGCAGTGGTTACTAAGGACAACGGTTATCTACAGCAGCTGAAGTCAGCGGCAACTGTGATCATTGGTACCAGTCACCAGCGATGGCAGTTACCGACAGCAATGACATCTCCCACCGCAGAGAGAGAGGTCAGAGTGTTGGAAATCACAGAGCAGGCGTGTTACCATCCCAGGTGAGCCACATCAGAGATTGTGCAGCACTTACAATTGACAACAGGAAACACTAGCCAGAGAAGGAGAACCCCATTCATCATCCCTTCAAGGAGTTAACCCCTGGAGACTGTTCTTTTGGATGTGGTGAGCAACTGCTAACCAGTGACATGTCAGTCCTTCAGCGCACTCCACCAATTCGCTAACACAGGCCTATGCAATACATAGACTCACACCTTGTTGCAATCTTACAGTATACAAGTGAATTTGGGGCTGAGCCTAAAGAGACGTCAGTTTAGCTGGGGACATATTGCTGCTGTAGTTGCAGGGGGTTAATACTGATCTATAGCTGTACCGGTATATATGTATATACATTAATATTGTGTTTATTGATGTTATTGTGCCAATTCTAGAAGGTTTGTGTATTCAGTGCATTTAACTGCTATTTTCCAAGTTAATTTGCAGAGTTGTACCTGTCTTATTAAACCTGTTATAAAACTTCCCACAAGGTGTACTGGTAGGCTGTGGATCCAATATATATGGTTTATCCCTGAAGTAGGACAGAAGTGCCCATTAATTCCAGCGGCTCCTTCAGGGGTGTGCGCTACACATATATGAACATACACTGTATGTGCCTGCATAAGTATACATATATATGTACACATGCATATAAATGAAGAAAAAGAAATATCAGATGATAAGTGATAATATGTAATAGGTTCATTTTTTGGAATTCATTTTATCAGGTGCTACATGGTTAGTATATATCATATCATTATACCATTTTACATACAGTATAACTGAAATAATACACGAGATAAAACTTTTAAATAAGAAATTAAACTTGGCATTAATGCACAGATAAAAAATAGATTCACAGGTTGAACTATTAAAAACAACAAAGTTGTAAATGGTGCAACAAAACTCCAACAACCATCAATGAATCAACCTTGCATTTGTGCATTTTTTTTAACCTGTTGGGGTATCCACTGCAGCCTTGTCTGCTGTGAGCAGCCTAACCTGAGCCAGTGAGCGCAGATGTTTTTGCCCTCTCACTATTTTGTATGAACTCACATCAAAAGTCCCATCACCTCCTAGATGTATTTTTATTCATTAACACCCTGTTGTTTGTGGCTGCTAGATGTCAAAGCAGACTTTTGGTTTTAGTCACACAGATTTTCCTCACAGCAATATAGCAAATTATCAACATATTGCAACTATAACCCATGTTCCTGAAGAGGGCTCCATTGATCTAGAACTTCCTTCAGCTTAATGGAACAACACCATATGTTCCTGAAAAGGGCTCCATTCATCTAGAACTTGTACTCCAGTGGTAAGCTGAAAGGTATTAGCCAAGTCAATCATGGTGAAACATTTGGCTATTGGAGGTATCTGTCCCAACAGAGTGTTTGGATTGGCGGTTTGCTTCTGCAAGCTAAGCACTGAAAATGTGATCTCTATAACTGATCCAGTTGTGGTTAGATAGCTTAACTTACAGTATCAGTAGCTTGGTAGACAGTGACTTGATCCAAATGACATCTTGCAGATTGTAGAAAGCTTAAATCCAAAAACTTGTGCAGATCATAACAGATGAGCATCAGATAGGTCAAAAAATCATAGTGTGTCTAGCAGAATACAGTATATGTGATGAATAGAGACTAAAGCATGAAGAAGAAGGGTGGGACTAACTACACAGAAAGTCCCCTAGCTGAGGTAGGGACAAAATTATTAAATGCAAACAGATAATGCATGTGTAATGTAATAATTGGGTACAATGGGTGGAGATAATGGGGTGTTGGCTTTAAAATCTGACTCTAGAAACTGAGAACTTTGCCCCTTCATCCTGTTAATCAGGGCTATAATAAGTAGGCATTAGGGTAGCTGTGGTAACAGCACCTTCTCTTAGTTTATGTTGTAATATTAACTGGCTCTACATCACACAACACCAAATAATTTATTTTACTAGTAACTTGAACTTTACCTCTTTCAAAATCAATGTTTGCCTGAACCAATTGTAATATGTCCGCTAATAAATTAGCCAATGCTGTGTTAGCGAATCATACTTAAGTGACAATTTCTGTTTAACGTCCTAGTTTCAATTTTATGCGTACTGGTTTCACCCTCAAAAAAACAGATACGTACATCAAGAATAATGTATTTGGTCAAAACAAGTTCTTGTAAGCATTTACCTTTTTAGGTGAACTTTTTCTAATATCAAATAATGTTTAACCTCCCTGGTGGTATTCCCGAGTGTAGCTCGGGGTAAAGTTTCAGTACCACAAGCGGTAACCCCGAGCTACACTTGGGCTTACCATACGGCGCTGCTCCGGGATCTGTTCTTCACTTAGCTTGTCCTGCGCTCCCGCGATGTCCCTCCTGCAGTGTCCCCGGCAATGTCTTCCGGTGGATGCCGGCATCTGTCATCTGGGTTCCATGCCTTGCGAGCATCAGGACATACGGGGACAGAATGGCGGGAAATTTGAAAATGACAAAAAGTGACATTCACTAAATTCACTAAAATCACATAGTATAACATTACTGTATCAAACCATTTCACATACATTTGGTCCCTAGTGCTTTGTCCTGTGCCCTGCCTGCATTTTTACCATTCTTTCTGCCTGGAAACTCAGAAATGTCCATGGCATCCAAAAAGCGTCCATTTAGGTCAAAAGCAGTTTTTAGACCAGCTAGAGAACAGCGATAGTAAATCAGAACCACTTGCAGAATTGAGTGAAAATGATTCGTGGGGAAATTCGTCATCAGACACTGAAAACTATTTTGCGACTTTGCTCAGTGATGTGCGAACTTGGCGCTATATTTCAAATTTCAGTGTTTTTGGTTTAATTATATTATTGAATTACATGTATTATTATTATATTATTATTTTTTATGATTATTTATTAAATTATAATTTATGATTTCATGTTTTAAAATGTAACATACCCGGGATGTTTACTAGACTCTTGTTCGGACAGATTTCAGTGAGTTATTCCTAAAAATTACAGGCCTACACATTAAAAAAAATACATATTTCCATGCAAAAAAAATGTACCGCTTTGAGCACAGAAAAATGGACATAATCAGTCTGCTAGGGAGGTTAATGAGTTCATATCAACTTAGTACTACATGGACTTTTCCATGAAATTACATAAAAATGTATTAGTTTAATATGGTTAAGAAACAAACTCAAAATAACTGTGATCACATTGTTTATCATCAGATGAATTAAGCCAGCAACTCTTGCTATCACATCCTACCTTTTTCTTAATGTTTTCACTTCTTATCATGAGATGAAGGGGGGAAATGAGACAGTGTAGAACACCTCTAAGGACTCAACAAACAGCATGCACTTTTTAAGACTCCTGCCACATGAAAAGGAACATTATTGGACACAGTTATACAGTACTTTACACTATTTCCTACCTTCTGACTGCATTTTCCCATTTTATATAACATCCTATCATTTTCTCTGATCACTTTCCTAAAGTTTCCAGGTTTCTCATACTCTTCTATGAGGTCCCTTGAATGTTCTATAATCCTTAAATGTACCCAAACTGCTATGTTTTCTTCTCCTCCTCCTGCACTCCTCTTGCTCTAGTGTCTATGATCAGATGGGCAGCCATGGGGTTTGACCCATTCTCATCCTCTGACCACATTTAGTACTGTATATTTTATTTGGACCAGAGCAAAGAGTTCTGTTATCCCTTCTGATACAATTTGAGTTGTATTCCTCCATACTTTAACTGTTTCACATGTTTTAGAATCTACTAGTTGTGGCCTATATCTTATCCTAAATTCATCCCACAACTTAACATCAAAACACCCTTTCTTATGTTGTATGTTCTGTCCCTTTTTCGAACCTGCCCATAAGTGTAAAGGCTTTAACACCCAATACCCTACGTCTCCTATCCATATTTTTTTTTGCGGTCATTTTATTCCCTTGTTAAGTGGAACCATTTCCAAAATTATATCTAATTCTACATTTTTCCTTGGTAACTCTTTTACCCTTTGTGGAACCCTGTCCATATTCTGATTGGCATATATTGATATATATGGTAGAATGGTTAAACATAAGGGTAACAATATTTACACAACAGATGGACAAAAGACACAGCCAACTGATCAAGACTTAACAAGAGCTGAAACTTCCTTACCCTGAAAGTGGACTATACTGACAAGAAGCCTAAGAATCAAAGGGCTTACTTTGACAACTGGTCAGGACACCTCCAGATTTGTTTGGGGTTGGCTGTCCTGTGCTGGCTTGCTCACCGCCTAGTGTCCTGGAAATTTGGGGTTTGACAATGGACATTAATCAATTTTCCCCAATAGTTAATAGACAAACGGCTGCAGCAAAGAGAGCAAACAGACATCCACATGCTTGGCGTGACATACAAGCTGTTCTAGTTTATTAAGAAAAAGAAACTCACAAAAAGTTAGTTTTATTATAACTCAGTAGCAGAATAAAATCAGGTCTCCTACCACTCAGTACTCTGTACTGGGTAGCAGAGCTGTGCAAGTCTAGAAGAACAAAAATACAAATACATTGGCAAGTAAAATAGTTGCTATATACTGTATATACTGTATATAGATATTCAACTTTAAGGTGAATTGAATAAGCTTTCCAGTTTAAGCATAGTTGCAGTGTTTATTGGGTGTCATTAGTAGTTCAGTGATTGGTTTCACTTGTTGCCAGCTCTTTTTGCAAATGGAGTTGTATTGCCATTGCAAAATGTGCTCGGACATGTGGCAGTTTACTAGATAAGGTAAACATTTTCAGGATCTTTTATTGTACAGATTAATGTGACAATGTACTAATTAATTAGTGTGCTCATTACCATGACAAATATTCTTCAAAAAGCCTATAAGAAACTTTAATTCATCATTCTCATAAAGCATGACAAACCATACAGGCTAGTGATCAGAAAAAGATTCCCCTAATGATGAATTTGTGGCAAGTGTTTAGGATTTGAATTCACCTCTAACAGACAACCACCCCTTAAAAGAGAAGTATGGTCAAGGCTCTTTTGGCCATACTTCTCCTGTGCGTCACAGGAGTGCTCTTAGTTCTGCACTCCTGTGACCCAGATTCAGCAGACAACCAGTTAAAATCCGCTGTCAGCTGATGGAACAGAGTCGGTCCAGGCTCTGCAAGGATCCCAATATATACACACCTCCGCACTATGGGAAAAAACAAACCCAACAATGATACTTGCTGCCTACACCCAGATCATCAACCCACAGTGTGCAATCAACAATGTAATTAGCTTGGTGTGGCATTTAGTGCAAAAGCAAATCATATAGTACTATTATAAAGTGCAAATATCTACAAGCCACCTGATGCTTTTCTCCTATATACATATAACCCTAACCCATTTATAAAGTGTTAAACTATTACTTAGAAATGTGCATAGAGCATAGTATGCATGTGTAACTGCATCCCGTACAAAAGTTCAAATTCATACAAACAAAAAAAGACATTGCCTTCATGATATACAAGTAATGCATCATCATATATTATCAAGTGTCCTTTAAAGCGAAGAAAAAAAATTATAAAAATGTCCAACAGAAAAAAAAATTATATACAAATTCCCAGTGACACAATCAATCCATTTTGTAAAGTAAAGTGACTTTCCTGCAAAAATGATTGTATATCTCAGTGTTCAGTGTTAAATCCATGCCATGCCCCCCTCCTATGGTACCACACTCAACAAGACTTTTTGACCCCTATTCCTAGGAGGTCTATAGCGCTTCAAACGTGGATACCTCTGGTTGCTCAAATGGTCGATTTATGCCGTGGTACTTTTTGTGGTTGCTCTTCAAAAGGTGCATGCATGTAAGGGAGATGTAAACCAGACGCAGCCTCTAATAGCGTGATACTGTATTTATTCAATGGTTAAAATCCAATAAAACCACATTTACACAATAAAAATGCTTGCTTTACACAAGCCATAATCACATCGCTAAAACTATCACAATTTGCATTCCATACACCTGAATTTCGGAAGTCGAAATGATGCAACAAGGGCTTCTGAACTTCCAGTGTGTGGAAATCAAATGGTGATAGTTTTACTATTATACGTTACTACTGTGTATTGCAGTAATGAGGTACATTATCTGGGTTAGCAACAAATGTGTCTGCTAGCTCTTGGGCATTCATCCTCTTTTCATTTATTTGTGTATTCTTCTTCTTATTATTTTTTTTCTTTAATTTTAGTTTGTCCTTGGTTTGAAGGCAGCATTTCTCTTTTTCTGTTTGCATGTCTGTAAAAAAGTTGGTAGAGGAGGTATTTTAGGGGGTTTTTTTTTACATCTTTTTGCATTAGCATAGGTCTGCTACTGCAGTACCCAACTTTCCATACTATGTTTGGCTATAACTTGCCCAGCAGCTCCTAAAAGGCTTTAATCATTCTTCAGAATTTGCCTCCCATTGATTTTATTGCAATTGGCTTCAAAATAACCCTAAATGGTAAAAGGTACCAAATGATTTATTTTATAAACTGCTATATACCTGGACATGAATGTCATCATTAGGAGTGATTTCTGCAATGCCCATGAGCACTGGATCATTGCTTTATATAAAGCAGGGTCATCAACACTTTACTTTTACTTTACCTCGTAGGTTCCAATTTGGGCAATATTATTTAAATTATGTTAGTGTATATAACAGTTAAAAACAATTATTTTGAGCATGAGTTTTGTGGATCTGCCTTATTAAATTGATTGGTCACTTTTAGTGCTGTTTGCCATGGAGCTTAAAGTTCTAAACAAATAAGAGTAGTCTGATGTAAAAAAAATTATCAATGAGTATTGATGGATTAAACATCCAATTATGTATGTGGTTTATAATTATCTACTTATGCCTACAATAGACTTTATTCTATTAGGCAGGCCATAAAAATGTCAATTTCAGTAAATTGTAACCATTCTTGAGCCATTGAGATTGACAAAAGCAATTGCAGGTAATTACTAAAAGTTCAGTAATGTTCCATCCAAAAGTTTGATCAGTCACTAGAAGTCTATCCTTTGTAAAGTCAAAACTTATATATAAATTAACATCTTTAATACAGCTTATTGAGAGGTTGAACTGAATTGCAATCAAAACAAGAAAAAGCTATTGCAATTTCATTGAAAGAAATCTGATTTTACCACAGCATTTGATTGCAACAATTTTCAACCCATCTCCCCATGGTCATCAAAAACACCATTTTAAGTTTTCAATTGCTTTGCAATTTTGACAAACATAGTTTAGAAAGTTCAGCTGTATTATCAAATTGACACATGTATAAATAACTGTAGAGCTTGATGATATGAAGCTAGTGACCATGTGATTGAAGATGGCGACAGGTTTTCCTTTGATGACTCCATGTCAGCCCCACCCCCCCATGCTTCAAGGACCATAACTCCTAAATGTGAGCCCACCTGTAGCCTTGGCATTCCTCTTTTTTCCTCCTATGTGCAGGACCTAGGCATGCTCCTCTACCTTGCTGGTCTAAAGGGCTGGCCGTGCGTCCATGTGTGTGGGTTTGAGCTGGAAACGGTCCTTGATGTACCAGCTAAATGACC